AAAAGACGAGTATCTGAAGTTTTCTACTGCGCCTAGCAGAAAAGAATGCTTCACTATTTTATCTATTCATTCTCTGATGAACTGGCCTACATTGAAGTCACATAAATTTGCACAATCTGTTAACTTCCGAGCAACATGGATTTCGTAACAACCGTCCATATTTGACTGACTTACTAATAACGAGAGAGGATTGGACAGCAGCCTTAGATAAAGGTCTGTCTGTCGATGTGATATTCATAGATTCTAGCAAGGCATTTGAAAAGGTTTCATATTTAGGTCTTATGCAGAGTCAGACGCTGTACAGGAGTGGATAGGGAACTTTTAATGTGACCGCAGACAGAGTGTGAGGACCAACGAAACGCTATCCGATTTGGAGCCGGTCAAAAGTGATGTACCTCAAGGCACCATCTGTGGCCCTCTGCTTTTCCTTCTCTACGTCAATGAGTTACCGCTGTTGCTTAGGTCGTCGACATTATTGTTTGCGGATGACTTAAAAATCTGGAGAACAATAAGAAGTGAGGTTGGTCATCTGGATCTCTAAGCTGACTTTGACGATATAGTTAGATGGGCTTGAGGTTAGGGCTTAGAAATCAATTCTATGAAGTGTCCTAATGCACATCGGTCACGGTATTAGTTACAATCATAATACTGATGGGTAACCTCTTTAATGTGTCCAAGAACATAAAGAATTACCACAGGTTCACCAACATGCTATCCTCATTAGTGAAGAGTGAAGACTGATTTGTTTTGAAAATCCAGTTTTTGTTTGGCGCTTATCAAACAGGTTAAATACATGTGTTGACTGTAGGTGAGGTTGATTGGTAGTATCGCTTCACTTTGAATATATAGTATCGATTAACAGAATCTTAAAAGCAGATTATAGAGTCATTATTTTTTTGGTAGTTTTTGCATGCTAATAGCTATACACATTGTAGTGAGTCGATATGGTACTACCTGATCCCCAGGGACCAGTAGATTTCTTTACGTAGGTAAAGAAATTCTATAGAAGTTCAAACAAACTATAGTTGGAAACGATAAGTGGTCATAGCCTTCTAAGAGTTCTAGAAAAGCGAATTATTGATGCTCTTGATATACTAAAAGATTCCCATCGTATATTGTCCAACCAGTTCAAACAACATAGAAGTGCTCATCAGTGTTTCATGGGTAGCACTAGAAATCACGTTGGGACGAGTCATTTATTTGGTAGCGTTTTGCCAAAATGGACCTAGCCACGTACTCGCCGCAAACTTTACCTGGTGCACTTTTTATAACATTTACAACATACCTTCAACCCAATTTCGGGGAAAATCTGACCCTTTTTGGGGAAGACGCTATTGAGAATTCTATTAATAGAGTAGTGAAATGTAGTAAAGATGTCCATGTTCTTATCTCTGGCAAAAGATGTTGCAAAATGACTCATGATAATCCTATAATTTTAGTTCCAGTCCGTGTCCAGTCAGTCAGCTACAACGTAGGATTATTATTATTTATTTTTTATTATTTGAACACATATATATTAGTACAAGAGCGTGCCGAATATATATGCGCCACACAAAACAATGAGAATCTAAGAAAAAAAAGTAAGGAACATAAAAAAGAAATAATAATTAAAAAAACTAACGAAGAGATTGGTATAATGTAGTGTAATAATAATAGTAATAGCAATAGTAGGGGAACAGAGGGGTACAATCAGAAGAAGTCTTTCAAATAAGAAGAAACAACCATTTTTTATGAAGAAAGTAAAAGAAAATTACAGCAGGATCGTTACTGGCTTCTATTCTGAGCCATATCTGATAACGTTTGTAGCCACTGTGTAGCACCATCTCTCGGACCCCAACCAGGGAGTCGTGAAGGACCGACACAAGCCAGTCATTTGCAGCCTTCTTTCATACCACTACAACGTAGGACCAACCACATATATGCATCGGTCCAAGTTGCCATACCTCATTAACACAACAAGATGGACACCGAATTTATGAAAGTGGTTAATTTAGAGGTGGTAATGTATAAAAGAAAGATTACAATAAGGATATAGTACAAGAAGAAAGGATTATTTTGCAGAAAGAAAGATATGAAGCGATTTAACTCTCTTAATTTTAGGGAAGACAGAGAGTGTATACACTGACGCCATTGTGATCGATTCTGAGCCATATCACCCAGAGTTTCCAACCATTGGTTATGATAGTCGTGCGAACCCCAACCAAGTAATCTGCATCTACTAACATGGCTCAGACTAAAAGTTAGTGAATTTAAGCACTGATGCCAGGTTTTGGTTTGGCTGCCCCTTACTTTCTTCCAACCATCTCCAACACCGGTTAGCATTGGACGTCGTGGTAATCGGTGTTCAGGCATACGTAACACGTGGCCCAACCATCTCAGTCGATGAAGATTCACAACCTCATCAATTGATTTTCCATCATTCCCTAATACCCTGCGTCTAACCTTGTCGAGTGGAGGTAGTTATCTACTTCAGATAATGAATGAATAGTTGCGCGAGATCATGAGTCGGTTGAAGTTAGACATTAGCACCGTTTGATGTCGGCTTAGTGGTCTAGAGGCTAACCATTCGCGCGAGAACCCGAAAGTCATGGATTCGGATCCTGCGTACGGGATCGTGCATGGACGCTGCTGTGGAGTCCCATACTGGGACGAAGTGACCATCTAGTGCTTCCAGATTTTCAGTGGTGGTCTAGCTTAGATAGACTCATAAATTCAATCAATAAAATCTCATTTTTACCCCTCGAATTATACTCTTTTGGTCTGATTTCTACTCCTAATGGTCTAGTGCTTTGAACGAACCAAGCTACATTGTCCCTCGAAATCTTACTGTGCCAAACCATCTCAAATATGAAGTATGTCCTGAGGCGTGAATATCATTCCTCTGACTTTCAGGCCTTAAAACAACCGTTATATTGTTTGAATAGCATCAAGCAATTCAGTCTTGCTAATTACAAAGCAGGTTCTACAGGTCGAATCCCACCACTTCGCTTTTAGAATTTTACGGTAAGCTTCAAAGATAAGTCTGCTACTTTGCGTGATCATCTCTAGACTGCCCCGTGTTGGCTTTTTCAGTTCCTCTGACAAGTCGAATCAACTCCTAATAATCAATTGACACCTAGCGTTAATTATTTGTACAGGCAGCAACATTCGAATACACTTCGTAGCCCATCTAAAACAGCAGCGGTCGGATTTTGTCCTAAATTACTTAAGTACGCCCAAATTCGTTCATAGTATGTTGTTAATCGCCGGTCGCGCACGGCCTTTTCGTGGAAGGTTTTTGACGTGTTAGCTCCGTTCTTCAAAGAGCCTTACCGCCGGAGACGGAAATCCGTGAGGTAAGGTGAGGTGTGCATTTTTAGGGTCGACCTTTTCTAACCCCACCCCTCCTTGTGGGAAGGCAGCATCGCTGTCATGCTGGTTGTCTGAAGGAAACGCCTTACTGCTGTCACACCTCTCTACAGTCAGCAGTACGACTTCGCCTTCGGACCTTAGGTTTGTTGCTTTTAGTCTTACCGCTCTTCAACCGACCTGTCTGACATGGTAGGACCTTGAGGAACGGTTGTTCCAGCCAGTATAGCTCGGTTGCTTCATCACTATAGGCAAGCCCGACCACCACGTCAAGGTAGCAACAACGGTCGGGAGTAACATTGTTGCTTGGTGTTTTATGCATCTGCGTTACATTTTAGTTATTATTATTTCTTCTTGGCTGACAAATCCACATATAAACAGGTTGCTGTCTCATATACACCAGTTAAGTAAATAATCATGCTTATTCACATTGTACGTGTTGTGAAGGTAACTAATGCACAGTTAGACGTTTTAGGATTATCGGTGGTAAGGCCAATTATGCAATTTAACATGTGAGACAAAAGCGTCTTATACTTTTGAAGCTGTCAATTAAATTTCAAGTAAGAACAGTTATGAACTTATCTCGACTTTGATTAAGCTGCTAGACAAAACTGAAGCAAAGAAAGATACAACGTAGAGTCTCGAATATATGCAGCGGTCTAGGTTGGTACACCACACAAGCACGACGGGATGAAATTACCAAGATAAAACCAAAAGCAGTACTGTCACTGATAGCGAAAGTGATAAATATCAGGAAAATAATCAAACTTGTTTCATAGATATAAAAATAGACACTACACACTGTTATGTTTCGATTCTTTTTCATTTCCAAATTCTCCATTTTGTTCAGCACGTCAACAGATTTAAAAATCAAATCAACACTCATTCCGTTTACTATGATTTAAGCAGTACGATATTATTAATACTTTTGACTTGACAGTTTGTAGCTTTGTAAATGGATCCGTAAAATGTTTCACCCCATATATAAGCTTTCACGTTTAATAAGTGCAAATAACACATAGCACACTATGAATTAATTGCAATAATTTCAATCTGTTTTTGTACAGTGCCTCTAAAGCACATCATACATCAATAGAATAAATGTTAAGTAATAGGCTTTTTTAACTGAATAGTTTCTAAAATTTTTTATCTAAATGAAACGATTTTTGAGACAATCATCAATCCTTTCGACAAGGGGAAAAATAGATACAACTATTCAACTGAAGTCCGTATTGGCAAGGATATTCATGTTCATTTAAAGACATTAAAATCCTTGAGAAAATTTCCATTTCTAGATCAAATTACAATCACTAAAGTTATGTCAGCATCATGAGGATTTTGTTTCATATGTTCTTATGTGAATATGTAAATCTATATAATGCAACGCTACTGTTACATTAACTTTTTAAGGTTCATGTCAACTGCTTCCAAAATCACTCTAGGAGTTTCGTGTCTCTTTACACTGTCGGTGTTTGCAGGTGTACATATTTCTCAAGCTCTTGAACGTGAAGTAGTTTGCTCAAATTACTAAACTCAAGTTTGTAGAAGCTTGGTGAGAACGTGCGCCGTGAAATAGAACGTGAAATCCAAGAAGAAAAAGGTTCCGTATTGTATGTTTCTCTGCATAGCTATATGTTTTAGATCTACCAGTGATGAACAACTCGATGGCTCTAAGTGATACAAAACTAATATCTGATGAACATTGTCTTTCTGTCAGCGTTTCATTCAACAATCCAAGCTTCGCAGAAGTTGCCATGCGCTCACTTTCCGTGGATCCTTCTCCTCCACGATCTACAGTTAAAGAACAATTAAATCAAAAGGGGTCCGACCTCATCTGTACATTTTCCGCCCCTGTCACTGTTAGCAATAGAAACCAACAGTTACGAAAATTGCGTATTGCTGTTAACAGCTGGCTTGATCATGTCATTTTGGTTTCGGAAACAATCAGTGCGTTTGGGACAATGGACTCAAATTTTACATCTGAGCGAGCTATTAATGGCTTTTAATTAGTTTTATTAGTTTTCCGCAATATAATCTAGTGATACATATCAAGTTTTTGATTTGTACTCATAAGGCACATAACTAGACAATCTCTTCCTTTTTAAGCTTTTTTTCTATCATGGAGTATGATAACGTTTTCCTGAGTGTTGCACAAAGCTGTGACAATGGAGTACAGGGATTGCTGGACGCCTTTTTCGGCTTCCTTTCCAGACGAACAGATTTTTATTATGGAGCTACTGAAAAAGACGCGAAACGTTTAGTTCTTGAGAATTTTGCAAAACACCGCGTAAGTTTCCATTTTTAGGGTTACAGTTCTCTAAAAAGTTTATATTTTCTTTAACTGTATCTTTGATGCCCAATATTACTACGCATACTATTACTAGCTCTGTCACTCTGAGATTTCTTGTAACAATGTTATTTATGATTGACTAACAAGTTCAAAGCAAATTTTTCATAGACTAAAGCCAAACTAGAGGAATGTTATGATAAATGTATAATAAACAACTGGCTGGAAATGAGCATAAACATACTCAAAAGTTGTTAAACACTAGAATTTATCTAATTATATGTAAATATCCACAAGAGATGATTTATATGGAGAACATATCGATCAATCGTAATCAGTATAAACTCCACATGAACCTTCTTTAGCTAGTTGCCATACCATAATACAACAATAAAGTCAGCTAGATGTATAGTAGCAAAGAGGGTAGAGATAGTTGTATTTTCAGCAATAGTTAAAAAGATTGAACCTCGAAATGTGGTTCGGAGGAACACGAATTCATAAAGTAACAAGTAATTTTGTAATTAATCTAAAAGAAAACTAAATGGACATGTGCCATTAGACGGATTTAGAGCCACAGCTATTGAGTGATCAAAATTAACTTGTTCATTCTTTGATAAACTTAGTTGTTATGATTTCACAATTTGCGAAAGAGCCCGATTTAGTATAGTTAAAGCAATTAAAGGTGTGAACCAAGCCATTTATCTAAATAGTTACATTACTAATTAGGACGTCAGATAAAATGGCTTGAAATCGTTCCAAGTGGCGTGAATGCATTTGCTCATCGTTTTCTTTTAGATCCTAAGCTTTACAATTATCTGGTACTTATTATCTCACGAATTCATTTTTCTCTGCTCGAATTGTCTGGCCCTAGTGTTTTATACTACTACTCACAATGTTACTACCCCTAATACTTTGTGATTTCTGTTGACAATTTCATCTTTCTGTGCTAATGTGATGTAGCAACTTGAACAGATGCACATATGTGCCAGGTCCCACGTTACATATGACGAATTGTTTTCGATCGCATATTGAGGAAAAAATAGTCGCCGGTAGCTACTGACTAATCTGTTTCATCCTGTCAGCGTTTCATCGTGTTACAGTAGTTCTTAGTTTATAACATCCATTCAAAAGAGTAACGTATATCGAACTATTACTTTATGACTCATGCAATAATATATTGTGGGTGAGTTTGGGCATGGAGTTAACCAATTTTAAGTGGGGCAGCATTATTCACTTGGAAAGTTCCAGTTGTTTTTCGTTGCACGGTTCTATACAGCCGGCCTATCTTAACGGTTCATTTTTCTCAACAACCGTGAATCAATAATATGTGAAGTACCCTGTACGGGTATGTTAGTCATGAGTATTGCTTTGATTGTTAGAATGTTCATCATTGCTATTCAAAAGCATTTGGTGTTTTTTTCTGGGAATAAATAGGATGCTGCCTTAGCACGTCGTGAAGAAGAGAAGAAAGAATTACATGAGCGAGACGAACGTGAACGTAGACGAAGAGAAGAAAAAAAGAAAGAAGCCATTAAGGCGAACCTTGCCCCTCCAAAGGAGTTAAGCAAAAGTTAGTGGTGTTTTTTGTCAACTGTAAACAGTGCAATAGATATGAGTAATGCAAATTACTAAATTTATACGTACGTACATTGAAATCTTAAGTCATTTTCACTACTATTTAGAATAACGATATTAATCAGTTTGTCAAAGTAAACCTTATGGATTGGAGTCCGTATATTTATATCATGTAATGTTAGAAAACCAGTAAACCATAGTTACAGTTGTGTAAGCTGCATGTATAATAGGATGATTGATGTTATTAACCTCCAACTGCTTAGACGTCAACATCTGAAGGGAAGCACGGTATACAGTGGACAGCTAGGATACAATTGGACGATCTAGACTTCGCAGATGATCTGGATCTTCTATCGCAAACGCAACAACAAATGCAGGAGAAGACGACCAGCGTAGCAGCAGTCAGCAGTAGTAGGTCTCATTATACATAGAGGGAAAGACAAGATTCTCTGATACAACACAGCATGCAACAATCCAGTCACAATTGACGGAGATTTGAGCAGCATCATTGATGAACAGGGCGGATCTGATGCAGATGTGAAGGCGCGGATCGGCAAAGCAAGAGCAGCATATTTACGACCGAGGAACATCTGGAACTCGAAGCAACTGTCAATCAACACCAAGATCAGGATTTTCAATACAAATGTCAAGACAGTTCTACTGTTGTATGGGGCGGAAACCTGGAGAACTACAAAAGCCATCATCCAGAACATACAGGTGTTTATTAACAGCTGTCTACGCAAAATACTTCGAATCCGTTGGCCAGATAATATTAGCAACAACGTACTGTGGGAGAGAACAAACCAGATGCCAGCGGAGGAAGAAATCAGGAAGAAGCGCTGGAAGTGGATAGGACACACATTGAGGAAAGCACCCAACTGCATCACAAGACAACTTTTCACATGGAATCCCCAACGCCAAAGGAGAAGACGAAGGCAAAAGAACACATTACTCCGGGAAATGGAGATAGACATGAGAAAAATGAACAAGAATTGGATGGGACTAGAAAGGAAGACCTAGGACAGAGTGAGTTGGAGAATGCTTGTCGGCAGCCTATGCTCCATTGGGAGTAGCAGGCGTATGTAAGTAAGCTCAGTATAAATTTCTTGCCAAATTCTCTTAAAATGGTAGTAGTTGGAAACACTAAGATATATTTCTCAAAATCAATCACACTATCACGAAAATTCAAACACTTTCTACATTAGATCTAGCATTTCAATAATTCTATTGACACGCACCAGAACATTGTGTAGTGAAGCTTTATAGTCTGACTATATAGTAAAATATCTATTATCTTTGCTGTCGCTTTTTTTAAAGAAAACACCAAGTGTTATTATTCGTTTCGTGTAATATTTAACTGTCTGTTCATCAACTCTTTATGTCTAATTCTTACTTTCTCTACCAAAAGCTGATAATTTAAACGGTACAAGTGAGGAGCCGTCAGACATGCCCACACTACCACAAACAGAAGCAAAGCCATCACTTGAGAAAAGTGATCTGCCTAAACCAATCAAAGTTGGTTCTTCTCCTGATGATGAAGAAGATGAGGAGGACAAGGGAAAATTGAAACCGAATGAAGGAAATGGTGCAGATCTGCCAAACTATAGCTGGACTCAGACATTGAGCGATGTTGATATTAAAATTCCAACACGTGTAAGTTTTGTAATAAAATTGATATTGTGATACATTTTTGTTTTTCGTTCAATTGACTCATTCCAAAAACAATTATCATGAAGATAAGATTAGCGAATGCGTGCGCAATGAGTTATTGTAGTTATTTCAAAATAAGCTGGATCTTGATTCTCCACAAGAATTATCTATCCTATGATTGAAAAGTAATTTTTTCACTATCGGTTCATACAATTCTAATTCTTCTTACTATTCTGTGGCATTTGAATAAAAAGAAATTGTAAAGATTATTGCAGTTTGTTTTGTGAAATAAGAACTGCTTTTAGCGAATCTTCCCCCCCCCAACATAATTAGTTTTACATTTATTTTGTCTTCATAATTAGTTACCACATTCCATCAAATCTCGCGATGTCTATGTTGAATTTACCAGAAAGCACATCAAAATTGGCTTAAAGAATCAGGAGCCCATTTTAGCTGGGAATTTGTATAATGAAATTAAGGTAAGCAATCATTCCTCATTGAATATTTTATTTAGGATTTGCTTTACTTTTAAACTATGAGTAGGAACTATTCATTTGGTTTCGAAATCATGTTTAGATTCACTAACCAGACAATGAATTACAGTCCACTTTCCTATCATTCTCACTTTGATTACATTAAACACAGTGCTATTCATTTCCTAATATACTGATAGCGAATCAAAGACAAACACCACTGATCTACAACTACAAATCCATCTATTACATGTATAAGTCGAATAAAAGCTGTTCAATCAGTGAGACTTCACAATTTTCACACTATAATAATGCGGCTGCATGTACTGTTGAAAATTGACTCTCTTAAATAGCTTTGAAAAGAAACAGTTTCCGTTAACCTGTTAGTTTCTCATGTGTAGTGTAATATTACTTTTGCTGACAGATCTCATATGAGGCACATAATCATAATCTGTATTTTGACGGACAGCTTGCATAGCCTGTACTTAATTAACACAAAAACATAGACTAATGCTACTAATAAAACAAGCCATTCTATCCACTTTATGGGTCTGTTCTATAGTCTAACCAAGTTGTTTATGTTACTATTTACTGACAAAAGTGAAATGCCATCTTTCTTAGACAACAACAGTCAATTTCATCTTCTATGTATTTTGGTAGAACAATGAGAAAACGGAGTTGATCCGAAAAATGGATATTTCCGCCATACGTTTTGAACAACATGATCACAAATATTTGTAAATGTAAACTAATAAAAGCCCATTTAATAGCCGAATAAATACAAAGTAATTACTGGAAATCATGGAAGAAGAAATGACGTGATAATGATAGGGAAAGAATAGGAAGTTGTAACATCATACTGGTTCTCAGAATGGGTAAAGAATTATCAAAAGCGATTCAAAGTTTTTGTACGCATAAAGGCGGTTTGAGTTTCCTACTAGCTAAGTCTTCTACAAATTTAAGAATTTGTCCTTGATAATTCATACACAACGTTTTAAAAGCTTCATTAAAGTCGATGTCA